GTTAACATATTCAATAACAATTTATATATATAGGAATTACGTATGAATAAATTATATTAAAATATAAAATTAATTATAATAAATTAATTAAATATAAAATTAATTATAATAAATTATATTAAAATATAAAATTAATTATAATAAATTAATTAAATATAAAATTAATTATAATAAATTAATTAAATATAAAATTATAATAAATTAAATTAAATTAAATGAAAATAAAATAAATAAAGATAATTAAAATATAGAATTTTATTAATTCATATTTTGTGTTAGAGTAAACCATATTAATAATATTTAATAAATAAGATTTTCATTATTTATTATTTAATAATCAGTTATTTTGTTTATTATTTTATTTTATTTGAATTCACCTATTTTATACTTTATCAACTTATGTTATATTATTTTTATTATATTTTAATAAATATAACTTATTATGAAATAATAAATAAAAATAAATAAAAATCTTAAATAAATATAATAAATTAAAAATATAATTTAAGTAAATAAAATTTTAAATAATCGTAATAAATAATAAAACAAAATGTGTTATTTTATATAAAATAATAAAATATTAAAAAACTTAAATGAAATAATAATTTATTATATAATAATAAGTTATTATATTTATTATAAATTTATTTTAAATAAATAAATAAAAATATTAAATAAATATAATATTATTAATATGATTCACTCTAACACAAAATATGAATTCGAAAAAATATATTTTAATTATCTTAATATATTATTTTTAATTCAATTTTATATAATTTTATTTAATATAATTAAATTATTTTTTTAGATTTAATTTGATTTCTCCATACGTAATGTAATGTGTATATATATAAAGGGTTATCACATTTAACAACTAAGTTGGACTGGTGTGGTGGTAGCTAAGGCTACCCTTCAACCCAGGATCGAATCTCAGAGCGTGCATCATTGACACGTGGAAACACCACGTCATCACAAAAATGCCATATCAGCAGAACGGGCCTCCACGTCACCAGAACAGGCCCAAAATTGGGCCCTGTGATTCGAATTGCAAAAAATAACTAAAGTGGTGTATTAAATTGCTAAATTGCAAAGGTGGTGATTAAATTGCAAAAACATGAAAGGTGGTGCTTTTATATGCAATTTAGCCAAAAAAAAAAATATATAAACCCAAAGCCAAACTAGCTGAATTGAAAATAGAACAGCTTTGTTCAATTGTAACCCTAGCCTAACACTCTAATTATTCAAGAGGGAAAGTTCAAGACTCTGGTTTGCTCCTTTCCACGTTCTCCCACCCATCAATCATCAATGTGCAATTACCATTTATGGCTTCCCTTTTCGCATTAGCCACTCTAGAACTCCACCGCCGCCGCCAGATTATTCACCGCCGGCGGCCTTGCCTCTCGCCATGGTAAAACCCCTTAAACCCCATTACTCCCGATACCTCCTTCTCGGCAACTCCGTTCCCCGCCGCTGTCCCTCCCTCCGTTTCTCATCAAAAATTGATCTCCACAATCACGGATCTTCGAATCTCGTGCACCGCGTCTGTGAGATATTATCCAATCCACGTGTGCCATGGCGGGGCAGCTCGGAGCTTACATCCCTGAACCAGAAGCTGAAGCCTTGCCACGTCTCGAAAATTATCGAGACCCACAACAACACCGATTCTGTTCTTCAGTTCTTTTTCTGGGTTTCTAAAGCGCCTTTCTACAAACATGATATGAGATGTTACGAGGTTATGTTGCATAGGCTTGTTAAAGATAAGAACTTTGCACCCGCAAACCACGTTCGGATTCTAATGATTAAAGCCTGTAGGGACGAGGGGGAAATTGTGAGGGTTGTCGACTTCTTGAATGAAATTTGTAGAAAGGGCCTTTCTTACAACTTATATAGCTTCAATTCTCTCTTGATTCAGTTGGGAAAGTTTAATATGGTTGTTGCAGCTCAGAATGTGTATAGGGAATTATTAAGAAGTAGGATCAGTCCCAGCTTGTTGACTCTGAATACCATGATTAACATCTTTTGCAAGAAGGGAAAGGTTCGGGAGGCCGAGATTATACTGGCCCAGTTATATCAGTATGAATTTTCACCTGATGTGTTCACCTACACTTCTTTGATTCTCGGGCACTGCAGGAACCGTGACTTGGATAAGGCGTTTTGTACTTTTGATGAGATGCTAAAGAAAGGTGTTGACCCTAATGCAGTTACATATTCTACTCTTATTAATGGTTTATGTGATGATGGAAGGGTGGACGAGGCTCTGTGCTTGCTTGATGAAATGATGGAGAATGGGATCAAACCTACGGTGTATACCTTCACTGTCCCGATTACTGCATTGCTTGCAGTTGGGCGTATAGATGAGTCGATTGCTCTTATCGCCCGCATGAGAAATATTGGTATACAACCAAATGTGCAGACATATACAGCCCTAATCAGTGGTTTGGCAAAATCTAACCTCATTGAAGTTGCCATAGGGTTGTACCAGAAGATGGTGAAAAGTGGATTGGCCCCCACCACGGTCACGTACAATGCTTTGATAAACCAATTGTGTGAGAGAGGGAAAATAGATACCGCCTTTAATATCTTTAACTGGATGAAGAGATATGGCCACTTGGCCAAAACCGAAACCTATAATTCGATGATAAAGGGGTTCTGCGGGGTTGGAAATGTTGAGAGGGCCATGATTCTGTTAAATGAAATGCTGAAGGTGGGTCCACCTCCTAGTGTGATCACGTACAACACGCTCATCAATGGATACACGAGACGGGGCTATCTAGACAATGCTAGGAGGTTGATGGAGGTTATGAAAGAAAATGGATGTAAACCCGATCAAGTGACGTATGCAGAGCTTATTTCGGGGTTTTGCAAAGGGGATAGGCTTGATGAGGCGTCCACATTATTTCAAGACATGAGTCAGCAAGGTCTGAGCCCGAACGAGGTGAATTATACCTCCTTGATTGATGGTATGTGCAAGAAAGGAAAAATTGATGATGCGTTGAATTTATTTAGCCAGATGCAATCGGCTGGTTGTCGTCCGAACATTGAAACGTACAATGCCGTTCTAAATGGCTTATGTAAGGAGAATAGGTTTGCTGAAGCCGAGAAGCTTTGCAGTAAGATGATGGAAGCTGAGCTGTCCCCTAACGTGATTACGTACACCACTTTAATCGATGGTCTCTGCCGGAATGGTGGGTTCCATCTCTCTCTCAAAATTTTCCATGAAATGGAAAAAAGAAATTGCTCACCCAATTTGTACACATATAGTTCATTGATCCACGGTCTTTGTCTGGGAGGTCAGATCGACGATGCAGAGATTTTGTTCAAAGAGATGTGGACTAAAAAATTATATCCCGATGAGGTCACGTATACCTTGTTGATCGATGGATGTGTCTCTCTAGGTAGACTAGACCGTGCATTTTCGCTGCTTTTTCAGATGATAAATTCAGGCTGCATGCCAAATTACCGGACTTATTATGTTTTGCTGAAAGGAATACAACAGCACAATAGAATGGCTTTTGAAAAAATTGCTGTTGAAAATGAAACTACAAACAGTCAGATTTTAGATTTAAAAGATATTACCTCTGATACCTTTCGCTCTTTATTAGTTAGGATGTCTGAGGTCGGCTGTGAGCCGTCAGTTGATACATATTACACTTTAATTTCTCGGTTGTGTCATGAGGGCAGAAGCCGTGAGGCAGAAGAGTTGGTTGAATTTATGAAGGAGAAAAGTCTGAGTCCTAATGAGGCTATATATTGCTCTCTTCTCAGTGCGTACTGCAAAAATCTGCAAGTAGATGCTGCTCTGAATCTACTTAATTTGCTGACTTCAAAGGGTTTCAAGCCTCCTTTGTCAAATTATGCAGCAGTTGTATGTGCTCTCTGCAAAAGAGAACGAACCAAAGAGGCTGTGGTGGTTTTCTTGCGAATGCTTGAGAGACAATGGAATGGTGATGAGATTGTGTGGACCATCTTGATTGACGGCCTTCTCAAGGATGGGAATTCGAAAGTGTGCATGGATTTTCTTCATGCGATGAATTCCAAGAATGTCCCTATTAGCAAGCAGACGCGTTCAATGCTAGCAAGCGAAGTGTTGAAAATCGATAAATCAAGGGATGAAAGCCAAGTGGACGATGCTTTAGCGGTCCTAAGAAACAAGTAAACATGCTTAGTATCCATTCTATTAGATGAAACAGGGCGAAGTTCTGCAGAAGATGCAGATTTTGTTTACAAGTCAAGCCACATCGAATTAGTGGTGAGCTTATTATGCTGTTCTCTTTAGAGTTGCTTGTACTTAGTAATGTTTTTAAAATTCTCTATGTCTCAAGAATATTTTTATTGTCATGCAGATCACATTATATACTCGGTCATTACTATGGAGCTGCCCAATTATTGGGATCTCACTCATGGATGTCATACTATCTATGAATGCGATGTGGCCTAATGTGACTGGGTTTATTTACAATTAAGGTATGTGTTCATATTAATTCCTTTTGGACTTGAAATAGTTGTTATGGTAACGATAACATATTTAGATGCTATAATCAAATAACAGCAATAGTTGCCATGCTGAACCAAACATAGGTTGCTTAGTGGGCAGTGATGTGATTTCTTGTTACTAAATTGGTTGGGTTTTGCTATTTTTAGGTCGTTTTGAACTAAAAGAAAACTTTTTTGTAGTTCTCAATTGTATTGATGGCCATAAACATCCAAAAAGTCCTTATAAATCTCAATTTGTCAAAGACAAGGAGAAGATAAAGGAAAAGATGTTTTAAATAGTAACACACGTATGGACCAATTATGTTTGACTGACTAAAGTCAAGGACGTAAGAAAGTGTTCGAAAATCGAAAGAATGAAATTATAATAGTAGCTACCTGTCAACAGAAGGTAGATCTTGTTGTAGGTAATTGCGTTGACTTCATCCTTTGAAAAAACTAATACTTCTAAGCTCTAATTTGAATCTTATTGGGTTTTGAGATTGGCTTGTGAGGGTGGTAGTAATTTATATCGTGATATTTGAAAGTTGTGCTGTTTAGATGATCTGTCTTGGCATCATTTAGCTCCTGCATCTTTGACTTGTAAACTGTGATCAATACACCAAAAGTATTCGTATATATTAGTTTAACAACCTGAATATTTGGTTTATGATATTGGGCACCATTGTTATATGGTTTTATGTTATAATTTAGGCCTAGTGAATCACTTTTAAAATGTTTAATTTGATAAGTTTTGTTGCAATATGTACTTGAGCCTCTGTTGTATGAATGTTGATTTTGGAGTTTTTGTTTGTTGTTATTCAGGTTTTGTACGGTACCAAACTGCTTCGGTCTGAAGTTGTTGAAGATTGGAAAGAGAACCCAATGCAATTGCAATGACGGGTTTTGATTTTTATCCAACTCTTTTTTCATTCTTTTTATTCTTTGCCACACAATTATGGCCTTTTGTTTTCTATACAGAGCCTTGTAAGCTTAAATTAGCCATAGCTTTAGCTTGTATATGCTACAAAAATTATTCTTCTTCTAGAATCCAGTGAGTCACACAGGGAATACACATGGTGCCAGTAAAACAAGACTAACGTACAATAAGTACACAATAAGCTCACTCACTTTATGCCCATATATGTGTGCAACAATTAGAAAGTTGAGATCATATCATGACTTGTCTGAGTGTGTATGGATCCAATGTAAAAAGTGTTTACGAGGGTAAGATGGAAATTTCCCATTAGCTTCCCTCTAAGCTCTATATTTTCCTGAAAATTCCGAGCCAGTCGACTATTATAATTTCCTGGAGAAACAGATCATGGGAAAGCAAAGACGTCGATGGTCATCTATCGTGTTACGACAGGAACAGCTACAAAGGTTGAAAGACATGAATACATAATCTGTTATATGATTTTGTTTTTGCAGTCGTGTAGTTTGAATTGTAACATAAATTTTGAATTTTTCTCTTTCTTTAGGCTTTGTCCAAACTATGTATAAGCAACTGAATTTAGATCACTCCACACTATGCTTTTGGACAATGGCTAAATTACAAGTGAAATAATATACAATTTGATAAGTTTATACTAACATGTTCAAAATGAATCATGTTAAGATAACAATCACACTTAATAAAAAAATATCAGCAATTAAACATAGATAGACTTTATAAGTTTCCTGACACATAAAAAATAAAAATTAATGTCAACTGGACGATTGACCTACTATTCTGCTCAAACCTTAATTACATTTGAAAAAACGCAGAAATAGAGGTTCGATCGGTTTGGTTTTGTGCTCAAAGATGTCGGCTTGGACTGAACCGAACTGCAAATTTTACGAGTTCAGTTTACTTTGTTTGGTTTCGTGTGGTTTTACATCGAACTTCACCTAAAATCTAATCACTGGTACCCTTCAATTCCCTGTTTCTACATTTGTTGATCCGTTTCGACCCGATTCGGGTTGGTCCTCCGCAGTCCCTACCATACACATGCTATAGTCCATAACAAGAACAAGAGAAAACACAGAGAACTAAGTGAGAGAACTCGAAGCACTCATCAGCTTTCAGCCACCCTAACAATATTTCTGTTCAAAGATGCAATCTTTATCGCCATTTTCCATCCACCATCTCCTATTTTCCTTCGCCGTTCAATGTATATCTGATTATTATCCGCTTTTCTTTGTTTCCTGTCGAAAACCTTTATGTTGTCTATGTTAATTTATTTTTCATTTTTCTAAACAGGTTTGTTGAGAATCTCGTTTTGCCAAGATGGGTTTTGCTCCGCGCCATCGATCTTGGAGGCTCAGCCACTCTATTGGAAAGCCACCAATCCAACTCTCGCACCCTCTCATCTTCAAGGTTGGTTCTTTTTTATTGGGTTTCGATGATTTATTGTGACTGGTTGGAAAGAGGAAAGGAAAAGCATCTTTGTTATGGCCGTTTTTATGTTTGATGCTGGGCTTGTTTTTCGTAATCTTGTTTAACCAAAAGAGAATAATGGCTAGCTTGCAGTTGCAGTGTTTTGATTTTCTTGTAATGAGAGGTTTCAGATTATAAGGAGTATAATCTGGTGATGCTAGAAAATTTAAAAGTGACTGGCAGCAGAAGCTTAAAAAAAAAAAAAGTAATTTTTTGTTTCTTTCAAGAATCAGCCTCAGCTCATGGTTTTGCTTTGCATAATTTAATCATAATGCAGAGGGTTGTTTTAAGTTATGATTATGCCTTTGGTGTGACTTGCATACAAAGCAGACTCGTGAGCCAAGTATATTAGATTGTGGGATCAGTAGTTGATCTTGTGGTTCTGTTGTTTTAGACTTGCCAGGATTTACACGCAGTGTTTACATGAGGGACCATGCTCTGATAACTCCCGAAAGTCATGTCTTTAGCCCTTTGCCCAACTGGTATGACGTGTGGGCTTCTAAGCTTAGTTCACAATTGGTGTAATATTTTCTTTATTCGTCTTTGTATATGGATTTGACAGGACTAATACATTGGGTGCTTATCTCATTACACCACCAATGGGGTCACATTTCGTTATGTACTTGGCAAAGATGCAAGGTGGGGTTTTGAGAGGTTACATACATTGTTTTCTTGTGAACTGAAGTTAGAGTCTCCAGTAATTTCCAGTCCACTATTCGCTTGATAAGTAACTTGCTTATCTGATACTGGTTATGCGGAAGTATCTATGTTGATGAGGAAGTTAAGAATATATTTTCATTTTGAAAATTTTGCCATCATCTAATTTTTGCAGAGAATTCAAGATCAGGGCGTCCACTTAAGGATGTTGAGAGGTCCGGAAGTTTTATTTCGGATAAGAATTTTGGAATAAAATTCAGTTTTATGTACCAATTTGCATAAGTAATATTTGTGGTTGTCTTTCACATCTGACAGAAATAATTTTATGCTTCTGCTTGCACAATCAGGTTTATATTCGTGCTTCAGGGAGTGGTGACTCTCGGTGATGCATCAGGCATTACACACGAACTAGAGGTATAAGAGTTAAAATTAAAATGTATGAAAGCTCTATTGATCTCTTCACATATTAAAAGAAGCATGAAAATGTTATGTCTGAACTTGTAGGTGGATTCATATGCCTATCTTCCTCCAAACGCAGAGCATTCGTTGAACTCAAGTGCATCTGCCACACTTATTATATTTGAAAGAAGGTTATTTTGTTAATCTTTTTCCTAGGCATCATTCTATTTTTTTTCTATGTAAGGTACATCTTTCAGATTGATATTAACAACTCTTATGCCCTTATATCCTTGGCTTGTAAAATTATGCTCATCTTCATTGTGAACTAGCCTGAAGAAAATGAATATAAACAAACAATAAAAAAGGATAAGAAAATGAAAATAAATACACAATAACAAAAATGCCATCTGTTTCGACATAAACTTTGACAGGGTTATTTATTTCATCTCAGGCACAATTACTTGGAAAATCATGCTCCCGAACAGATTATTGGTTCAACAGATGAGCAGCCCCTTCTAGAGACCCCGGGAGAGGTAAATTTATGATTATTTTTCCTTCTGTTTATTACTCTAAATGTCTTGCATCTCCTAAAATAATAGTTTCTGGCCAATGGGCAAGAAAAATAAAGTAGCTTTTAAATAGGCAGAATATTTATGCATCTTCAAAGTGATGCAGGCAGAATGTAGGTTATATTTGGTTTTGTCAATTCATTGGCTCAGTTTGTAGCTCATTATTATTTTTTTAATAATTAATCTGCAAACTAACATTTTTTATTTGTCTCATCCTGCTTAGGTCTTTGAGCTAAGGAAGCTACTTCCAACTTCATTGCCTTATGATTTCAACATTCATGTAAGTTGCAACCTAGGAAATCTATTGAACCAAGCAATCTGGTTCCTATATTATTGGTTTCAATAATATAGTTTTGAACTCAAACATGATATTTGAAACCTGAAATTTCTCATAAAGTTTGCTGCATTTTGTGTGAGTTCTAACATTTTAAACATACACAAGGAATAAGTGAAATTTCAAAATTTTCATACAATTGTGTTCTACCCTTGTTTTAATTTAGTTGATTCTTAGAAGGGTTTTTGTTTTTATGGCAACATCTCATTATACACCAAGCTTCTCATTTCCCAACCAAATCCTATGCTTTAAGTAAATTATATGTGTTGTGGCGTCAGATCATGGATTTTCAACCCGGTGAATTCCTCAATGTAAAGGTATGCTACCTTACTTAGTGTATATCAAACCCTCAACAATATGAGATGCAATCCATTTGACATTTATAAAGAAAAAATAAAGGAAAGGCAAGATATGTGTCAAAAACAAAAAAGGCAACTTTTCATTTTATTGCAATTCACATTTACAGGAAGTTCACTATAACCAGCATGGTTTGTTGCTTTTGGAAGGTCAAGGCATATACCGCTTAGGTGATAGCTGGTAAGGAAGAGACGTAAATCAATTCTTTTGTTTCAGAAAATTACATTATCCAATAATCCATTTTGGAAAACTTTGACTTGGAAACCACAGATAATCTGCAAGCTTCATATATCTCAGTGTTGTTTATCCTACTGAAGGGCACACGAAGATTCTCATAGAAAGTTATAATTTTTTTATTGTGTGATTGTATTCATTTGGCTATTGCCTTGTCGACTTGTCACATGTTAACCCTACACATAGATTTACGATTCTTTCCTTTTTCCGGTATTTCTTAGGCATAACAATACCAGTTTCTCATAATTTGTATCATGTAATACTTGTGAAATCAGGTATCCTGTTCAAGCTGGTGATGCAATTTGGATGGCCCCATTTGTGCCTCAATGGTAAGTATAAAGAGAGTTAGCATGCTCTTAAACTGTAAGTTGAGGACAGCATATATTAAAGACTTTTTGTTTTCATCCTTTTTCAGGTATGCTGCACTCGGCAAAACAAAGTCGCGCTATTTATTGTACAAAGATGTCAACAGGAACCCTTTGTAAAAATACAATTGAACAAATTATATCGATCAACTTGTGACCTCATGACTGTATAAAATCATGAATAGCTATCTTTAGATGCACAAGACTTAATCTTGAGGTTGGTCTAATTATTCAAGATTGTGTGTGATGAATGTTTTGGAAAAGCAAATCAAATGGTAATAGTAAAACCATTTCTTGTTTTGGCCAAGAATGGTTTGTTATCGCTATCTTGCTTGTGATAATTTTTTCACCAATCAGGTAAATATGGTATCTTATTGTTTAATTTCATTAACCTTTTACTTAAGAATCAAGTGGCATACAAGATGTTCAAGTAGTAGTAGTGTAATACATACCTATCAATCAATAATATTCATAATTAATCTCTTCCTCTCCCATTTAATATCTAGCTGCCACAGTTTTGCTTTAATTCTTAAAATACAGAAGAAGAAAAACTGAATTTGTGGTCAGAAAATCATAAAACGACAACTACTACGTGAAAGAATCAAGCTGACAAGTGAACCAAAACAGATGGAAAAGTAAGACATATAGTACGTGATATTTGTTATCAATGTCAACTAAAAGGGAACAAAAACACTTCTCACATAACTATCCATTAAAATAGATGATAACTGATGGACATTGTTACCAGAAACTGGTAAAATTAACTTCAGTTCTATAGCCATTATCACATCATGAATATGAACTTTTCTAGAACAGCAAGCTGGCCCAAGCACCAATGAAAGCGAACCCGCCAAACGGGGCCAGTTGAGAGTACTTTCTGTCTTCTAGGTATGCCACAGCATAACACCTGCAAACCGCAAACATTAATAGTTGCAAGTATATGCACCGCCATCAAAAGCTTATATACATTAAACAAAATGGGTTCGGATTCTGCTTCAACAATAATTCGTTTATTACTCTCAACAATAACGTTAATCGTAATCCAATGTGTAACAAAATGGACGACAAAACGAGGATTCTTGAAATGCAGTTGCCAGAAGAATCATATTGCTAAAAACAATGTACTGCAGAACTAGCAGCCAGAGTTGGCCTATACCCACAAACATATTATGCAATAACTTCGACAAACAGATTGAAGCTTCCAAAAAAACTAATCAACTGCTTTACAAATAAAACCGGCATAGCAAGACGACATATTCTCTCATGTGTTTTAGATTTGGATTTCTTCACTATGTTCCAATTTTGAACCCCAAATTCAGCTTAAAGGGTACGGGAAAAATAGAGGCTTGTCTGTCTGTTTTTCTTATTATTCCCTTCCCTCTCTAGCATTATAGTCTTCGTTGATATCAAAACAGTTGGAGAATTCGACCCTACCGATGTGGGGATTGCCCAGACCAGGGTCCGAGCCATCGGATCGCAATCACACACACACACACACACATGTGGGTGTGTGTAGGGTGAAATCCGCACAAACAGTCTCACACATTTTTGTACAAGTCGGCCTAAATGGCCGTGAATAGCAGCTAGACTGAGGAGATAACTAAAGAATCAGAAATTTAAGAAGAGAAACTTACGTCCCAGAAAAAGCCACTATTCCAGAAGTCAATAGGCCTCCAAACTACACACAGAACAACATAAAAATAAACAAAAAAAAAAAAAAATGGCAGAGAAGATTTGCCACAAAGTAACAGCAGAACAAATGGTAATAAGTAGTGGGCTCACAATATTTGGGCGTTTAGTTAAAGGAGCTGCAAGTAGAGCTGCTGTGTGAACCAAATGATACAGAGAAGCTGTGTGCCATACCTTATACACCCAAACATTAAACAAGTAAGAAAATATTAAAGATTTAACCTTTTAAAAATCGGGGAAAGAAATGAGAAGAAAAAAAGGAACAACATTACCTCTTTGTAAGAAGGGTTCTTGGGCTTAAAGCCATGGGCGCCGTATGTTCCCAACCCAAGAGCCGCTACACCTACAAACAATTGCAGAAAGATACAATTTTTAACATGTAAATGGGAAGAGAGAAAATAATTTGGAGAAAACAACAAACAATAAGAGAAAAGTGGAATTAAGGAAGAGATTGAACGAGGTTAGGGATACCAGAGAGAGCTGCTACTTTGTGCCACATAAGAGGATCCATTTGCCCTCTTTTTTTTTTTTCCTTGTGTTTTTGTTTCTTTGCAGAATGCTTTCAGTTTTTTGACTTGAAAAAAGACTTGGGAATGTTTATGAATTTCCAATTTGGTCCATCATTTTTCGTGAAACTTCACATTAGACTTCTTCTATGAGGAAATCACTATTAGACTTCTTCTATGAGCCACAAACTAAAATTAGACATGCTGGATAGGCTGATGAGCACAAAGATTCTTATGATTTACTACTTATATTCATTAATGTGATTAATGTATATGTTCCTGTGTAATATTTCTGGGTGCAAACCAGTCAGAATCGAGTTCGAGCCCTTAACGAGCGAATTATCGAACTCGACTCGTTTATCAATATTAACTAGAGATTGAACTATAACGAACTCGAGCATTAATGAACCCAACTATAAAAAACTATATAAAAAATATTATTTTCGAGCCTTAGCAGCCGAGCCAAGCTGACTCACCAATTAAATGAGCTTATCAATGAGCTCGCACTCGACTTATTTATCAAACGAGTTGAGCTGAAAGCTCAACTCGAACCTTAACAAGCAGAGTCGAGTCGAATTGACAAGGGACTCATTTTAACAGATAATTTTCATTATTTTTTTTGTGGTTTTTTTTTTTTTAAAAAAAAAATAGTAATACTACATCACACGGTTATTTAGAATGTTATATACAACAACAACAACAACAAAGCCTTTTAGTCCCAAACAAGTTGGGGTAGACTAGAGATGAAACCCAATAGAAACAGTAGTAAAAAAAAAAAAAAA